AAATAATCATGAAATAAGGAAGTACGAACACGATTTGGTCGCAAATTAAATATGTAACAGTATATCCATTTTGGATCTTGGCTGGCTACCTATCCTGGAGCTAAGGGACTACTCGCTACTAGGGACTTTTTTTAAAGCATTGTATTCTAATAACTGGCCCTCCCATTTAAAATCTGCAAGTCGTTAAACCCGTTTGGCATCTCCGTTCCAGTATTGCTCCAAGGCTTTATGTTCCATTTGTACAATGCACCTTTCAGCATTCAGCAGCCATGAATTTTAATGAATTGCCAGCAAATATAAAAAATTGCACAGATTTTAAAGAATACTGTAGGCTCTGCGAGGCGTTCTTAAAGGCGTGCGCTTTGTCTTCCTTGTAAAGACATAGAAAAAACCACCACCACCAACCAATATATTCTACATATTTATTTTCATATATAGTTTTATTACAATTCAGTTAGTTATCATAATTTAGTTTAATACTAAATATTAGTATCGTAGGCCTTCACAGATGAAGAGCCACATCTTTTATGTGGATATACTGTGAATAAACCGTTATTATTATAATTTGTATTATTATTATTATTATTATTATTATTACTATTATTATTATTATTATTAATTTGAAAATTGAATTGCTCCTTCTGATGTCTGAAGGTCAAAATCAGCATTCCTTGTATCGCAAGGGACTCTTCATCCCTTCAAGCAGATGGAGGGAAATGTTAAAAGAGAGACATGTCTCACTTTGTCCTAATTCAGGAGATCGTCTTTACATAATTTCTTTCTGTTATAACAGTTGAGAACGTTTTATAAATTTAACCTTTGTGCATTTATAACATAGAAACAAACCTGCGCTATTGAGGGCAGCATTCATTACGACCATCCACATTCTGAAGAACATCAAAAGAGCCACTTCCTGGGAATGAAATACCGAAGGTTATCATGGTTATTTACCTGTATATATCCTAAACTAACGAGTAGCTCAACATGAAATCAAAGTTTTTGTAGTTGACTTTGAAAAGTCCAACGAGAGATTATATAACATTTTTCTTTATTCAATCCGGCACAACGTAAATTCTCGCTCTTCGAGAACAGAAAACTCACCTTCGCTGTATAAAGTAAAGTGAAAGTTTGCATGCTTGCTTGTCTTTTGAAGTCTTGGATACAATTTCATCTAACACGGTAAGAGTATTGATCGATCCTGCCCGTCTCCTCAGTCAATCTTCTCTAAAATGGTGGGTAAGATGATTAATTTTTTAACCGGTGCTTTTTGAGAAAAGCAATCATCGATGTTTTTTTCTAGAACACCTCCTGAATGGAAGTGTTGTTGCATCATCAGTTAGTAATGGTATGAAACAATACATTGGTATGGTTACTGACTGTAGGTTGGCATCCACAAAAATGATCCATTGATTAAAACACAGCTGGCTGGCTTTTCTCCACGGCTTTAATTAACAGCGTAACAAACGCCATGGGCAGGTTTACTGAAAAGACTTGTAAAATATGAAATGTTATATTATTTTCTTTCATTTTTTTAATTAGGGACGACTCTCCGTCTAGACCCCCTTCTGTTTAAAATGTATCATACAAGGACATTGATTAGTAATAATTAACTTTACGCTTTACGATGAACTGACTGAAAACATGCGAACAACGTCGTCATGCTACCTTAACAGCACTCCTAATCGCATCGAAAGAAAGCGTTTTTCTATTATTCCACTTCATGTGATATTGGACGCATTCCCTTCGATGTCTGAACCTTTCATTCCGTATTCATGAGCCAAAAGCAATAATTTAAGTTGCGCAACGCTTTGAATGACATTTACCTTTACCTACTGCGGAGTCATATGTGGAAGCAATAACCTAAATTAGAACATTTAGATCAATTTGAACACCACCATGGGATATGTTTAGTAGACATCACCAAGGTAGCTTGTCATCGCGCAAAAAAAGGAAATCCCTGAAATGTCTACTGAGTTACGTCAGTACGATCTTTTAAAAGGCGTCTTTTAAAGTCAAAGATATCTACTTGGTAAGCCTCAATGCAGGCATTTTGTGAGGATTTTAGATATTTATTGCTTGGTAAAAAAGGCCAATGAAATCCTACGTTCGAAAAAAACTATAGCTTGCTATGGCAGTAACTAGTCCATAACTATTTTATCAAAAAAACATACCCACTTCATACTTAGATATGTTTTCCATCATTCTAACCCACTTTTTTTGGGGGGGAGGGGCGGGATTAAGGAGCGCTTAAATCATTTGCAAACTATTTGCCTTCATCTAACTAACGGACGTTTCGCGAGGGAAGATGTGACCTGGACCTTTATGCTTCTAAATCTGCTTTACTGAGTCTAATCACTTTGCTTTCCGCTATTAAATGCCCGCGGCAACGATCATGATTCTTTCAACATTCTTTTTCTCAGTGGAAAACAAAGGCCAGAAAATTGTTGATCTAATTACTAATAGCTATTAAAACCGCTACTCAATTAGAGGTTAACTAAGGGGTATAAAAACCAAGGCCCTTTCAGAATATCAGCCGTCCAAACCAGTTACACATTCTAAAACTAGCTAAATAATATATTTACAGTTCCCTTTGAAAATTTATCCGTTCACAGTAAGGATTATAGGGTAAGAAGGATGACTTTCCTCTAGAATATAAATTAAATTCATTTACAGTTGAGACAAAATGAGCACTGAATAATGCATCTTGTCGTCTCTTCATTGAAATTTCTTGGGAAAACTGAAAATTAAAAATTAAACTCAGTATTTACAATAGCGATATCTGTTCAAGGCAGATGCATCTCTATTTACATGACCAAAAGGTATTAATCATTGCAGGACATAACATATACGAACTATTATCAGAGAATGATAACAGTTATCTCTAGAAAACACAGTTCGTGACACTAGAAATAAGCATAGCAGAAGCCAGATATTGGTTTGTACCTTGACAAACGCCGGCGTCTCTGTATAGAGGCCGCGTTCTGTTGTCACAAAATGGATTTACATTGCCCCTGAGAGTTCGAAGGGTACGAACATCAAAAGAGCAATGTGTTTTTCCTGCCTTGTCGATGCAAGATTTTCCATTTTTTTATTTTTTCACATAGGGGTGAGGGAACGGGAATAAACTTGGAACGGAACGTTCTACCACAGTCAGCGACAACAGCTGCGTAATTATCGCCACAGGTTGCTATTTCTTGTAGCAGAGGAGGAAGATCATCCCAAGCAATTTCATGCAAAGGCGACTCACAAAGAAGTTGTGTTCCCTGTAAGCTTTGGAGAACTACGATACTAAGTGATTCCAATAGAATAGAGTTCGAAGATGGTCCAATGCAGGGTTCAAAATTCCCCCTTAACCAGCGCAAGAATGACTCAGACTGACTTCTGAGATGAAAAACATAATGACAATGAAATAGAACACATTGTGCCTGGTACACCGCTGCATACTGATTTTTTAAAAACATCCCGGGTGTTCTTTTAGAGGTACTGGCCACCCATTCCTGGATATTTTAGAGCTGATGAAAAGGCAATTTATTTCTTAAGAAGCATATAACCAGGAGGAATTCAACAATCACCAAGGTTCGATAAATCGAAAATTAAGACCACCAAAAAATTAAAAAACATTTAAAGTTCCCACTTTTAGAAATGCAGGAGCAAAAGGAGACACTTCATATTCATTCTTTACAGGTGGAAAATCATTTGAAATTCTAAAGTGGGACTTCTGCTAATCTAAATCAAAGCAAACAGTTAATTATTTTCAATGCCTACCCGCAATTAGTATCACTTTCTGCGGAATAGATGGCTGCAAGGAAATGTTCTTCACATTCAATTGCCTTTCTGTAATTAA